GCAGCCACAGAAGTTTGCTGAAGTCAGCAAGCCACCCTCCGTCATCACCCACACGGCCTCTGCTACCCTCACCCACGATGCCTCTGCCACCACCTTCAGCCAGAGCCCGGGCCTTATCATCACAACCCGCTATCCCGCCCCTCCACGTCGCCCTGTGGCCTGGCGCTGTCGCCAGTCACCCGGCCTCCGACGGTTGGGCCTCCCCAACCCCGTCTAACTTTTGTGCACCCCAAGCCCGTATCCTTGCCTGTAGGGAGGCCCAAGCAGCCCCCCAAAATAGTGCCTGCTCCCAAGCCAGAGCCTCTGCCCGTGGTGTTGAAGAATGCTTGCATTGCCCCAGGTGAGTCAGGTGGAGGGTGGCCAGGCGGGACGGTCCCCTGCACCCCCTTCCCCAGGGTATTTCCCGTCTGTGGGGCTTGTAGATTCATGATGCACACACACTGATGTGAAGCAAAAGGGTTATGGAATGCTGCATGCGTATGCTCTATTTTGTATTCTGTGTTCTTTTAAAGTTAGAGTCTCAGTCCAGTTTGAAAAAACATGGTCCTGGTCATCTCCTTCCTGAGTCTAATCTGTCCCCTCCATGGAGAAGCTGCAAAAATGTAGCTTTGTCCCTCTGGCCCTGCACTGAGGGGGTGCTGTCTCAGTGGGAGCCCCCCATGCAGACTGGCTGGGCCCAGGTTCGGTGTGGGCGTCAGGAGCAGGCCTGCAGCTGGGGCCTCCACCCTCACCACCCCCTGTTCTGGCAGCTCCCTTTCCAGGACAGCCGCAGGCAGTGATTATGACATCAGGTCCTCTGAAGAGAGAAGGGATATTGGCTTCTACCGGGTCGCAGTCCAACGTGGTCATCACACCTGCTGCCATCGCCAGGGTGAGGAGGCCCCGGACAGACCCTGAGCATCCTTATAACCCAGCGTGCCCTCACCCACATGACCGTGGCCAGGGGTGACCCCTCTCTCCTATGTCACCTCAGGCTCCTGGAGTCACAGAGTTCCACAGTGGCATCCTGGTGACAGACCTCGGCCACGGCTCGGGCAGCCAGCCCGCCCCCGTCTCGCGGCTCTTCTCTCCCAGCGCAGTGCAGGACTCCCTGGTGAAGGGCGAGCAGGTCCCGCTGCACGGGGGCGTTCCTCAGGTCCCTGCCGCCGCCTCCAGTGAGTGTCCCCCCGGGTGGAACAGTTGGGACTCCGTAAGTGGAGTGAGCGGGCCCGCTCCTGGACTGGGGGTGCTGCCGTGGGTACCTGGGGTGGAGCCTGGGCTGCCAGGCCAGGCAGTGAGGTCTCATAAGCTGCTGGCGGCCCGGGCTAGGGACACGCTCAGCGAGAGGCAGGACAAACCTGCTGTGGAAAAACAGCAGGCGCGTGGCGGTGCAGGCAGCTCAGCCGCCAGCTCTGATCCAGAGAAGGGATGGAGGACTCCTTGTCTCCGGTTTACATGAGCCTAGGGTCGTAGCCACAGGAGCCCTGGCCCCGTCCAGCACCAGCACGGTTGTCCCCTGCCCGGTGCCGGTGCCGCGCCTCTGGGGCCCCTCCCTTCTTGCTTGGTCTCACGCCGGTGACACAGTCGGGGTAGGACTCATTTTTCCAGTGACATCTGAAGAGCCAAGAGGTCAGGGATGGAAGGTTTTTCCGAGGCTGGGGGTGGGGTTGGAGCCAGATGCCACATCAGGAAGGGGGACCCAAGTGTCGTCTTGTCCCCGGTAAAACCACGACGGCTGATCCCAGAGCTCTTTGCAGCATTGGCCTCCCTCTGCCTCGGGGACACACAGGAGGGGATCTCTACTTACAGGGGTCAGACAGAGGGACTTGTCCCAGGACAGATTTTGAGGAATAAGGACCTTCGTCTGAAAAGATGAAGACATAGACTAGTTATGAGTCAGGCCCTGAAATACCGTAACGGGGCTCGGGTAAACGCCGCCTTGTCCACGCAGGTGTGGAACCCAGAAAGTTAGGGCATCCCAGGAGGCTTGAGAGCAGGGTGAGGGGAAGGGTCAAGCAGAGAGGACCGGGATCAAGGCATCTGTGCTGTGAAGTGGGACCTGGTGGCATCTCCTGAGACTCAGGGCCTGGGTTGCGCTGGCCTGGGCCGCGCTGGCCTGGGCCCCTGGTTTTCTCTATTGTGTTCTTGGGGGTAAAAGAGTGTTTTTTTTTTTTAATAAAAAAATGTTGGGTGGGCAAGATTGAAAAAATGTAGAATTTAAAGAACAACAAAAAAAGAACAGACACCTGTGTCCTCAGCACCAGGGTGAGGAACTGGAGCCTTGCAGACACCAAGGAGCCCCTGGCCCCTCCAGGCTGCTTTGTGGGAGGCAGCCAGGAGGCAGGCCTCCTCTCGGAGCTCCCCAGCGACCTGTGACAGGCAGAGCACAGGCAATGACTCCACTCCACACCCAGCCAACCTTTGTCAGGCCTTGCCCGGGCCTAACACACCCATGCCCATCCCGCACCCCCCACCCCTCACCCCTGCCAGATGTTGGCAGGATGTCTCTAGTGTTTGCTCTGGGGCCTTTATGGGAGGTTCAGGGTGGGTGTCCGTGTCTTGGGACCTGCTGGGATGAGTCCTCTGCGAGGCTGGGGCAGCCCTGCCGAGCTCACACCTCCGGCCTGTCCCTAAGGTGGGGGGTCTCTGCTCTTCTCAGGTCGAGACTGCCCGAACTCAGGGCAGGCCTCTCCGTGTGCTTCAGAACACAGCCCCAGTCCTCAGTCTCCCCAGAACAACTGCTCAGGGAAATCTGCAGACCCCAAAAATGTGGCTGCTTTGAAGGTATCACTCGAGCCTTAATTCCCTTGGAAGGATGGGGAGACAAGAGTATCAGGGGATCTCTGGGACAGCTGCATCCCTTACCAGAGACACGGGAAAGACCCGCGGGCTCCACGGGTGTCCCACCAGGCTGGGGCAGCGTCAGAAACAGACGTTTGCTGCTTTAACCTTGAGCTTGTAGGCTCCTCCCACTCCCCACCCACCACATAGCCCTGTGGTGACCGTGGGCCCTGAACCCAAGAGCCAGCACTGAGTCCTGTGGAGCCGGGGAGGGGAGGCAGCTGACCTGGGTCTGCAGAGGAGAGCTGTGAGGGTGGCGGGGAAGGGCCAATCGGCTGTGATAGGTCCTTGCTGTGCTCTGTTCTGCAGGGGTGGTTTTCTTGAGCCCTGTCCTGTCCCTCTCCTGGCTCCTGCTGGAGCCTTTTAGCTTTCTGTCACCCCACCTTCCACCTAGCTCTCTACGGCCACAGGGTCCTATTCTGGGCACCAGAAGGGAGGGGGCCCTGTGTTGCAGTAACAGTCAATTCCCCAGCAGAACCGGCAGATGAAGCACATTTCAGCTGAGCAGAAAAGGCGCTTCAACATCAAGATGGGCTTTGACACCCTCAACAGCTTGATCTCTAATAATACCAAGCTGGTAAGTAGCCTGGGGGTGTCATGCGGGCAGGGGAGCCCACAGGACCGGCAGACGCACAGGGTCACCGTGGCTGCCCTGACCCGGCCGCCCCTTCCAGACCAGCCACGCCATCACGCTGCAGAAGACCGTGGAGTACATCACCAAGCTGCAGCAGGAGCGCAGCCAGATGCAGGAGGAGGCCCGGCGGCTGCGGGAGGAAATCGAGGAGCTGAACGCCACCATCATGTGAGTCTCGAGCCTGGGGCTCCGCTCCAGGGGCCGGTCCCCTCCCTCACCTGTCCCTGAGACGTGGCCGGGTCCCGTAGTTGCCTCCTTGCTCAGCCCGGCAGCTTTATGCCGTCCTACACCCCAAGACCTGCCTGCTTGGCGCCCAAGCTCCCCCAACTCTTCTGTCGTTTCAGCTCCTGCCAGCAGCTGCTCCCTGCCACAGGCGTCCCCGTCACCCGGCGCCAGTGCGATCACATGAGAGACATGTTTGAAGAATATGTGAAAAGCCGGACCCTGCAGAATTGGAAGTTCTGGATTGTATCTTTGGGTTTTCTTTACTTGTCCCCCACCTCCCAACCAGTGCACTGGAACAGCAGGCACTGACCCTCTGGTTCCTTTAGGAAGATTCTCTCTCAGCGGTTGTCATTAAGTTTGCCAAGACAAGTAGTGCTGGTTTCTATCTCAGGAGGGAGGGGCCTGGTGAGGCCCATAGCGTGAAGCAGGCTGTCCTTGGTGACCGACTGTTCAGGTCCCCAGGGGCTCCCTGGGGACGCAGAGCAGGCCAGCTTTGTGCTCTGGGTCCTTGGAAGTAAAGACAGTGCCGGAGCTGCTTGCAGGAGCAACAGCGTGGGAGGTAGGATCTGGTCTAACGCGTCCCGGCACCAGCTCTTGTCCCACGGCAGCAGGGAGTGTGGTGCCCCCACAAACCAGGACCCACAAAACAAATACAGAGCCTGGATTTGAAGGCAGATCCCTCCAGGCTGTTCTCTGCGTTTATGCCACATGGCCTTGACTGCTGTAACAAGATGTGTATGCCTCCCTGCACTTGGCCTTCCGGGTGGCAGCAGGGCCCTTAGGGGGACAGCTCTGGCCTTGTCACTCCCCACCCAGCCTCCGCTGTGCCTCCGAGCAGACACTCTGCACACGGGCAGGGTCGGCTACCACACCCCGGCCTTGGGTCTGCTGGGCTGAGGGGGGGGTCACGCGGGAGGGGCAACTCCAGCATCGGCTCTGGCAGGGCAGGTGGTCTCTGTGTGCGCTAAGGGGCGGGTTTTGAAAGGAGAGATGACAGACAGCAGCCCAGTCCCCCTGCTTTGCTCTGGTCCCGATTCCAGAGCGGTGGCGGGGAGGAGGTTCCCTGTCAGCAGGCTGAGGCTGGGGGACCGTGGTCACAGCCTGAGCTCAGGAACAGTTAGGAGCTTTTAGGGGAATGGAAGGACACATGCCCGCGTCTCTGTCTGTCTGTGCAGTTACTTGCCAGTCCCCAGGGGAGCCGGTCACGGGCAGGCCTGTGACTGGACTTCACTCTCTCTGCGCTGGGTCTGTGTCTCCGGCCCCGTCCTCGCTCACCCTTTCTTTAACCCGAGTGCCGTGCAGTTCAGCGTCATCATCAAGCCGCTGTTTGAGTCTTTCAAGGGCGTGGTGTCCACCAGCAGCCTGGAGGAGCTGCACCGGACGGCGCTGTCCTGGCTGGACGAGCACTGCTCCCTGCCCATCCTCAGGCCAAGTGAGTGAGGGGCTGCATGGGGGCCATGGGGCGGTGGGGGCTTGGCCAACCCCTTCACACTAGTCCTGGAGCGAGGAGGGCCCTCAGCCGCAGGTAGTGCTGCAGAAAAACCCAGGCTCTGCAGACAGCCACGCAGCAGCCCAGGCAGGAGGGTGAGGCTGAGCCCCAGGCACCCACTGAGGGCGGGGGCGCGTCTCCCAGCGCCTCTCCTTGGCCCCCTCCCGGCAGATTTACTGAGAATCTACTGTTCGCCAGGCCCTGTACCCAGATGAGCTCCTGTGATAACTGACAGCTGTGCCCATTTACTAAGGTCGTCAACACGTGATACTAGAACAGGGGGACAGGCAGGACCAGCCTGGGAGGCTCTGCTGGCCTGCAGGGTGGGGGACAGGGTTCCAGAGTTGTCCCAAAGGCCGAGGCGTAAGTGTGCAGACCTCAGCGGAGGGACTCCTGGTGTTAGGGCCTCCCCTGCCTCCGTGGGCGTGGGGATCACTGCACGGTGTCCGTGTGAAACCGCACGTTCTGTCCCTTGGGAGGCGGTGGCTGGCGTGCGTGCCGGGTCTGCAGGCCGACCCCCTCCTGTCTTGCAGCCGTGCTGAGCAGCCTGCGGCACCTGAGCACCACCACGTCTGTGCTGACGGACCCATCCCAGCTGCCGCGGCAGGCGGCGGAGGCCGTCGCCAGGACTGGCAAGAGGTCGGGGGAGTCATAGCGAAGCTAGCGGGCACGTGGCTGTGCGTGACGCTGTGGAGCCCCTGCCTGCCTGTGGGGAGGGGCCTGCGCCCCAGGCCTCTCCTGACGCAGAGCTTCAGGGCCTCTCTCCAACAGGGCCGCTCAGGACGCCGCGCTCAGGTCTGAGGCAGGTTCGGGTCCTGCCGCCAGCAATAGCCCAGCTTTGGGAACCCCTTGCTGTGAACTCTGACTCAGCGACCTCAGTCACCAACCTCCGTGCACTCGGGGCAGCCCAGCCCCAGGGGAGTGCCGTTCCTGTGCCTGTCCTGTCCTGCTGCCGGGATGTCGGGGCTGCTGCGCCAGCGCCAAGGGCAGAAGGGGCAGGAGGAGACAGCACCTGCTCCCGCGAGTTAGGAGACGTGAGGGCCCTTCCCGGCTCCTGTCTTGAGACTTACAGACGTTCCTCCAGTCGCATCTTGTGCACTCGCTCACCCTGCCCGTGGGGCGGTTGGGAGGCAACCTTCCTCCCCCGACGCTGACCTTATAGCTAGATTGGGTGTCTGCTTAGGCTTTGCACGGTCGACGGCCTTCTCCCACTGCACGGGCTGCCAGGGAAACCCCGCAACACAGTGTGCAACGCAGTGGGTGTGCATGCACGCGGAGGAGAGCAGAAGCACACGGCGGAGCTGCTGCAGGCTTGGAGAGCCCCTCGGGCGGTGCTTCCATCTGTTACGACTGCGTTCCGCTTGGTGTCACAGCTGTGCTGACGTGAGCGTCGCCTGGCGGGGGCTCGGTGTGGTCCCTTCTCCCTCATTCTCCACCTGCGTCCCAGCCGCAGTCGGGCCAGCGGCAGTGTTTGATGGATGCTGCTCACCCTTCGGGCGCAGCGAGCATTTGAAAGCCCAGGCTCTGTGGTGCTGCCGTCGGCCTGGTTGCCTTGTCTGGATTGCTTAGCCGGGAGCCCCAGACCATGACAGTTCTCGGACCAAAGACGCCACCATGCCCAGCGTCCGCCCTGCCTTGTGTTTAGAGGCAGAAATTGAATGTCGCCAGCAGAAGTCCTCGGGGCTGTCTCTGGGCATCTCCCAGGTCAGACAGTAAAGAATTCCACCAGATTTAATCAGGTCGGGGGCAGCGGGCTGTTTCCCAACGTGGGAATTGCGCTTGGAAGGGTTCGGGGGTCGTGGCAGGAGGGGCAGGTCTGCAAGGGCAACTCCAGGTGGAAGGACGCTCTCTAACACTCAGGAAGCCCAGCCAAGGGTACCTTCTCGTTGCAAATGTGCTTTTCACGTCCTGCTGTGAAGTTCGGAGGCCAGCAGGCTTCCCGTTCAACCCCTGTCCTCTCCACCCGGGCAGCGCTGGGCAGGCCAGGGCTCCTGCTGGTCTTTGCAGAGCACAAGAGCCACATGAAGGGGTACCATGGGCCACCTGCGGAAGTTCGGATCCCCTCCAAGGCTCCCACTAGTTCCTGGGGGCCTGCGGAAGGCGCCCCTGGGGGCAGCTAGCCCCACCTCAGCCTCGACTGACAGAGGGTGGAGGCGGGTCCTCTCCCTGTCCAGGCCATGCCACCACGTCTGCCGCAGGTCACAGCCGGTCACCCGCTCTCTCATCTGTGCTCCAGCCCCTCTGCCTCCCCGGAAAGCGTGTTTACAGGCCTCCTGGATCACTCTCCTGGGGGCAAGCACAAGAGCGGCTGAGCCAGCCCTTAATTTCCACTGGGAAGTGGGGTGAGAACTCGGCCTTCCCCCAGGATGCACACGAGGTCACCCTTCAGAAGGGGAAGACCACTGCGGTAAGAACTCCGCGAGGCTCGAAAGGGAAAAAGGAAAACCAGAGGCGATCCCAGCTGTGAGGGCTCGTGGAGGGCCCAGCGCTCGGCCCGCCCCAGTTCCTGTGCCTTCGCCACCTGCGCAGGTGGCCGCAGAGCTCGGCCCTGTCACGACCTCTCCAAAATCAGTAGCTTTCTCCCCACCCCTTGCTGGGAGTCTTTTTTTAAAAAACTCCTTGGGATATAAAATTGGCCTCTTGCTTTGGCCTACCTCTCCCTCTCTCCCTTTTGCTGACTTAACATTTGTGATTCTGTTTTGTGAAATATTTAAGGCTGTTAGGACGTGTGAGGCTTTGACGGGTGTGTGCGTGCGTGCGTGCGTGTGTCCCAGCAGACAGTTAAGATGGATGTCTTGTTTAGAGATATTTACTTAAATCCATTTCTCTCGGTGCTCACCATTATCACGGCTCTAGGGCCATAAAGCTGTATCTCTTCCTACAGACACAACTGTTTCTTGCCCAGGAAGTTTTCTTGTTTTGGAATCTTGCCCGATAAGATGGGAGCACAGCTTTGTCCTGTGTCCTGGGGTCCCAGGCCGGGATGCAGGGACCCCGGGGTGCTCTGCCAGCCGCCTGCAAGGGGTGCTGTGGTTTATTGATGTTCACTTTCCCCCTCCTGTCCCTGCTCCCATAAAAGAAACTTCAAAATGCTGACACTTTGGAGGATAAGAAAACCAACCTGAAAAGAAAAGGGAAAAAAAAAAAAGCCTGCGTGGCACATACGTCTCTGAAAGTGTTTCTGTGAAATCTTTCTGTGGCATCAGCTCCCTTCCCACTGCCGGTCGCTCTTTGACGATTAGTGGGAAATGCAGGGAGACCGGGGCTTTTTCAAGTTGGCTGGCCCATCCCTCCTCAGTCTCAGGCAGGTTACACACCAGCTGTCATCCACCAGGGGCCCTCGTCGGGCCGGCGCTTTCCGGCGGGTTTTCACAACGCGGGAAGCAGGCCCTGCGTCAGAAGCCACTGTTGCTGTGAGCATCAGGTCTCATCCTGGAGGGACTGGATGAAGTCCCCGCTGTGGTGTCCCTGGGGCCTGCGCGGGAGGAGGGCTGCCCCATGGCCCCCCACGTGTCCTCATGCACCTGGCTCTTTCTGCTTCCTGTCCTGGTGACCTGACCCCACCTCCCCTTCCTAGACAGAGGTCAGCCCTCAGGAGCTTTTTGCCCTGGCCGATAGAAATAGAAACTCAGAAACTTAGGGAACGTGGCGCTGCAAAGTGGTGCCCACCCCAGCCCCCTCTCAGCCTGCGTCTCTGCTCCTTGTGCCGGCTTTCAGCCTGGGTTGTGAGTCCCGAGGCCGCAGGCTTGTTGTCTTCAAGGTCACAGGTCTCACTGTGTCAGAGTGGAGCCGGGGCTGTCCCAGGGGCCCATCTGTGCGTGGCCTGCACACTCGCTCAGGGTGGATCGGTCCGGCGCTGGTTGACCTGCCCCACATCTGTTCTTTTATCCCATCCGGACTCCCGGGGGGCAGACCTGGAACATCGTCCCCACACCCCTCCCCTCCTGTGCGCACCTCGCTCCACCATGGTCTTCGTCCCACTGCCTGAGGCCCCCTAACAGCTGGGGTACGCCACGGCTCTCCTGTCTGGGGGCAAGAGTCGCCTTTCCCTAGAGACACCCCGCTTCCACCCAGCGCTTTGCCACGGGCGAGCCCTGCCCGCTGCTTGTCGGAGCAGCTTTGCAGAGCGCTTCCTTCGGTGGTCTCGCCGAGGAGGGAGAGCCGGGGAGCCCCGGTGTGGGCGTGTGGGCAGCAGTGGGCCATGGGTTTTGGTTTGGTGCCCCGATGCCTCAAATATTAGAGGATTTTCACCACATCTGAGCACAGAGGACAGGAGAGTGAGGCTGGTGGGTACCATTCAGTGGTTGCCATGGCGGCGACCCGCTTGGTAGGCAGGTTTGGGGGACCTGAGGGGCTCCAGGCGCAGAGAGAAGCCACAGGACCCCAGGTGTGTCCGTGCGCATCGCCTGCCCGGTTTCCTTTTCCTTCTGAAGGCTTGGCTTTCCCAGCTCACCACACAGGAGCTCTGTCCTGTCAGGGCTTGTGAAAACCAGCCTTAGAAAAAGAAAAGGGAACTTTTCCTGTTGAATTGTTGGCTTTGACTGGTGTCTGTGTGTGTGTGTGTGTGTGTGTTTACCTAATGGGATTTTTATTTTTGTGGAATTGGTTCGTAATTATGTAGCAGAATTCACCTCCAACTCCCAGTCAGACTTTTGGTTCCAGGGTCAACCCCGGCATTGCTAATTTGGAGAATCCTCCACTGGGTTTCTGAACAGAGATGTATCGCTCTCAAGAGTTGAGGCTGTGGAGAGGGTTGGGAGAAACCGAAGTTTGAGACGATTCTGTAGAGTTTTACCTCCTGCAGTTAAAGGTCGGAAGGGCTCGGCCAGGGAGGCTCGACCCCTGGGCAGTGTTTCTGGCAAGGGAGCTGGAGGCAGCCTCTCCCCACCACACCTGCTGCTGCTTCGTCCCCATCTGCTCACGCCGCTCCTCGTGCTGATTTTGTAACGCCACAGCCGAAACAGCACGTTCTTTTCCTTTTTGGGGTTTCGTTTTTTCTGTCGTGAGCTTCGGTGACTGTGCCAGGGCTCCTGAGGGAGACAGTCTCCCCTCTTGGGCAGAAAAGCAAACCCCAAGAAGAGTCTTGCTTATCGGGGGCTCCCTCAGGCCTGCGCTGGCCCTTCATGCTCCACCTCGAGAAGCACGTTTCCACCAGCTGTGTTCAACACTACAATGCAGTTTAAAAACTATATTTGCATCCAAGACAATAAAAAGCCGTATTTTTTTGAAAAGCCTGTGATGTGTGGTCTCTGCCACCCTGTCGAGCTGTGGAATTACTGATAAAATGAGATCAGAGCAAAGTGATGCCCATGACTGACAGGCTCATCCCGGCCTTGGGGCAGGGGTGAGGAGAGAGGCCCGAGTGCCAGACGCTCCGGAGCTGTGTCCCAGCAGACGGCGGTCCTGAAGGGAGGCCTCCGCTGAAAGGCCCGTGTGACAGACCCTGCCCGCGAACTCACCCGGGCCTGATGCCCCAGGCCTTTCCTTGTGGACAGAGTTCAGTGGTGCTGATGCAAACTGCCTGTGTCCACACGTGGAACTTGGGTAGCCTGCGGCCTTTACAGGGTGGTCTTGAGGTTCTCTTGAAGCTAGTACCTCGGGTGCTCGGTAACCCGCGAGGCACCGCGTTTAAGAAAGCCAGGCTATTACCAGCGTGGCCATGCCCACTCCAGGACAGGGCCGGGCCTGGGTCGCGGTGGTGCCCCGAGGGGCAGTGGGCTCTCTGCTGACTCTGGACCCAGCGCCGTAGACCGAAGGTGCTGGTGTGCTGTCCAGCAGGGGTGTCGCTTTGTTGTGCTGAGACCTGGATGATCTCTGTTTAATCTCAAAGCATCTCTTTGTCCTGCCGCCTTCCTGTGCCTACTCAGTTCCTCCCTGCTCCCTGGGCCTGGGTAGGGTGACCCTGTAGGATGAGTTGTTCAGGCCACCGGCCCCTGTACAGAGCTGCTGGCTTGTTTTCACTGCACAACTGCCCAGATCCGTATCTCTCGACTAAAATGCAGTGGGGCTGAGGCACGCTCTTGTCTGATCAAACCCCTACGCCTTCCCCAAGGGAAAAGTTTTCATGACACAAAGCAAGATTTGGGGCCTTGAGAACCAGGGGCCCTAGAGAGAGGTGAGTGGTTCATGGACTCCTTTGGGCTAAGGACCTCGGTTTCTGTTGAGATAATCAGTGGGAGTTAGGGTGGTTCTAACTTTCTGAGCCAGCCCCATGGTACATGTGGACTCTAGAGAGCTACGTGGGGCATAGTTGGAGAGGAAGGTGGAGGCTGGATGCTGGGAAGGGGGGAGCTGTGTGTCCAGAGGGAGAGGCCAGAGCACTGACCGTTCCTCAGTGTCAGGCCCTGGGCCACCTCAGGTTCTGGGCAACTCCCAGGGCAGTGCTGTGGTGGTTCTATTTTACAGAGGAAGAAGTCAAAGTCATTTGCAAGGTGGGGAGGCTACATGGGTGAGAATGAGAAGGCTAAACATTCCTTTATCTTGTAAACGGCCTCTCCATCCGCCAGAGCCAGAGGCAGGTCCATCAGGTCCCCTCTCCCTCCCCCCAGCACCAAGTCCTGTCAAGTTTTCTCCATCCCCTTTGGCATCATCGCCCAAGTCCAGGCTGCCATCCTCTCTCAAGTTCACGTGACAGCGTCCTCCATCCCTTCTCTGTCTGTAGCCTCTTACGGTCAGCACGAGCTGGAGGAAGCCACAGTCCAGCCACCGGACTCCTCGACTCAGACCTTCAAGGGCTTTCCAGCTGAAGGTCAGTCCACCCTGCCCTGTTTTGCCATCCTGTCCTCCTACCTTGCCTTCCCAGCTTCATTTTTGCTCTTCTCAGTTTCTTGAACGTACCACGCTTTGTTTTGCTGTTTCACTCCAGGTTTTACCAAGGCCTCTTTCCTCTGCCCTAGCCTTTCCCTGTCTGCACCCCTTTTCCTGGCTAGTCTCTCTTCTTCCTCGCGATCTTAGTCTTTAAACGTCAGTTCTCCAGAGACCAGCCCCTTGTCCTCCCCCACGCACAGGCACACGTGTACACACACCCCTGCGCGTGCGTGCATGCACATGAGGGGTCAGGCCCCAGGGAACCCTGAGTTTCCTCCGGACGCCGGCCGTGTTTGCCATCACCATTTATCTTCCCTACCAGGGCGAGGTGCCCTTAGCCACTGCTGTGCCCAGCACAGAACCCACAGCAGATGCCCAGGGGACCCACCTGCTCAGTGAGCCCTCAGTGCACCGGTCCACAGCCCAGTGGCAGAGGGTGTGGGGAGCCTGATGAGACGGGCGTGGAGGTGAGGGGGCAGCTTGAAGGTCTAGACATCAAGCTAAGTAGGTGTCTTGCAAGGTGGGTGCCTATTTAATATAAAACATCGACTTCAGTCATTCAGGTTGCAGATACAAGAACAATCTCCAAAAGACATTTGAAAGCATTTCATTTTGGACGTGGACTTGATCCTGTAGAGCGTGCTTTGCCTTTTTAGTGGTTCTTTCTTGTACGTCACGCTCTGAATTCAGCCTCGTGTAGGGGGTTTGATTCCACTCAGTATGTGCTTTCACCTTTTTATTTCGGAAACTCCAGCATACACAGAAGTACAGAGAACAGTGCAGTGAACCCCCACTTACGCATCACCCACTTTAACAACAACCGACTCGGGGCCAGCTTTGTTTGATGTGTACCTCACCACCCCCGCCATGCCTCTGAAGCTAATCCCAGACACGCCGTCCGGATTTCATCTGTTAGTGCTAAATGTGCTTCTGAGTACCATTTCCAGAGTTGCATCTGTGCCTGCAGGGTTGGTCGTCTGAAGGCTCCCAGAGGCTTTGTGAAAAGTTAAAAAGTCACAGTTAATGAGAAAGCTGGGGAATGGGGAGTTCTGATTGATCAGATTTTCTGTTTCACTGAATCATTAGCTAGAAAACCCTTGTTGTTTAGAGAGGGGAAAGCTTTCTAAGATAAGAGTCTGCTTTCCTGCCTCAATGGGCATGCACAGCAAACAGTCTAATCTCTTGATCTCGTCTGACTGATTTTCGCTCCTGGGGGATGTGACTGAACAGGGCTGGTTGGTACCATTACAGGTTTGGGGTGCGGGTGGGGCCTTCCCACCTGCCCCGTCACCTGTCCCCCAGCCCAGAGTCCCTAGTGCCCCCATCGGCGTGACTGCGCCACCTCCCCACACCCCAGCTTCTGTGAAG